TTGTATACCACAGTTTTTTAATCCATTCGTCAGTTGATGGAAATTTGGGTTGCTTTCCAACTCCTTGCAATTGTGAACTGTGCCACAAAGAACATTGGAGCACAGATGTCTGGCCTTGGTTTGTTTCTTGCCTCTTCTGGGTATAATCCCAGTAGGGGGATGGCTGGGTTGTCATCTGACTTCTTGACTGGGTGTTTCTGTCAGTGTTGATTGTGGTTCCTAGCAAGATGGCATCCTTGATAGCGTCAGTCGTTTTTCTGATTATTGTGATGTTACTTATTGGTCCAGTTGTGAGGACTTTGGCTTTCTGTACATTGAGTTACAATCCAAAATGAGGGTACGTAGAGACCCACAGAACAGCCTAATTTGTCTTTGGGAGTGAAATGACCTGGGAAAAGTGTTCTTTTTTCCTCTGACACTTCAAATGACATACCCAGAGTTACCTTGGAATAACTAAATGAACTTCTGGGAATCATTTCATTAAAATGCCAGCCTCTGACAGCTGCTGGGATGTAAACTTCCTTGAATCAGTGCTGTCCTCCTGAAGGAAGAGGAATCTGAAGTTGTGCCTGGAAGGGTTGCTATTCTTAGGCTAAGTTGTAAATGTTGTGCCTTTCGTAGAGAGACTGGCTGCAGCCTTTGCATTGTTTTAAAGTAACTGTTCCTCCAACCCCCAAAATATGTTTTCACTTATCCGTCAAAGTTAACTGTAGAATGTTACCACAGCTTTATAACCAAGGAATGTTTATTCACCATTAACAAGGGATGCTTTATTCAAATGCAAATATGTTGACGCTTGAATATTTGGATATTTATGGAATTATTGACAAGTAAGGGGAAAGGGAATGAAGTTTGAAGCATGTAATTCATATCAAATAAGTTAATAGTATATCCTAGATGGAGCCAATAACTTACAGATCTTCTTTTTATTGCGGTTTATGAAAAAGCACACACAGGAAAAACTGAGTCATGTATGAATTCTTATGCTCTGTACTTATTTAAGCAAGTTTATATAAATTGAACCACATGTTTAAATTTTAAAAAGTTTTGCATGTTGATTAATGAATTAGATACATTGGGTTTAATGTAGAGATTTTTTTGGTAATACCTTTAAATTTTTTTCAGTTTAAAAGAATAACAAATTCATATCTTGCTATTCTTTTGATGACTTTTGTCTCTCTTTAGATTTGTATTGAACGATGTCTTGAGAGGGGAAAGAGCAGTGGTAGAACTGATGACAACAGAGAAAGCTTGGAAAAGAGGTACTTGCCAGTTTTTATCTGTTTCTACCTCAGCCTCAATGCGGAGCTTGGTGACAGATGAAATATCTGCCACGTTTTGGCCTAGAGTAATACAATGTCTTGCTGAAATGTGTCCACTGGTTCACCTTAGAGAGTATTTGAGTCATTTGGGTCAGGGCCGGTATTGTCCTCTCAGTTAATCTATATCATGGAGGAGAGAGGATGGCTAACAAGAATGCTGTTAACAGTTGCTTCTTTTGCAGAATTCAGACCTACCTGCAATCAACAAAGCCAATTATTGACTTATATGAGGAAATGGGGAAAGTCAGGAAGATAGATGCGTCCAGGTCTGTGGAGGACGTGAGTATCTGCACATCCTGTCTCGATAAGAAGTCAGCTGCGTGAACATGGCTGACTTCTTCTGAGGCAGGCAGGCCAGAAAACCGTGGCATTGATTTTTTTTTTTTTTTTCAAGACTGGAGGCTCAATGAAAGATTCGTTTATGCTTCGTCTCCTTTGGGAATAGTGTGTGAAGTGGTCTTTATACCTTTCTATACGTTTTCATAAGGAAGGGTGATTAATCCCAAGCCCTTTCCTTAAGCATTGACAAATTGGCATTTTGCGATGAAGAAAACAAACAAAAACCCCAATTACTGAGTTCGTATTTGGAACTGAAACATGAACAGCATTGTCCTGTGGAAGCCCAGGTTGTTCTGCTCCTCACTGGTAACAGAGCACAGGGCTCCCCGCTGCAGGCTTTCCCCGACTCATTCCCCTCCCCCTCAGAAACCAGCCCCCTCTGAATGGGGACTTACAGCCCATCGTGCCTGCTGAAGATGTCTAGGGTCCCTTGATTCACCTAGTCTCCCTTCTCCTAACTCCCTAAATCTGCTTCTCCTGGACCTTGATTTTTGGTCATGCGTTTGACATATTTTTTATCATCCATCACTATTTCCTAAAGAGGGCAGGCAATATATGAGAAAAACTTGAATCAGAACTAAGAAGATAAGCCACTTTGTTTTATCAAAATACTGATCATCTCTCAAGAGATTTGTCTTCCCTTAAGACACTTGTAAAGTTGAATACAACATATTTATGATTTTATATGTATTTATGATACTCTTTCTCTAAAGTAAAAGGAACCCTGGTGGTATAGTGGTTATACATTGGGCTGTGATCCTCATGGTCAGCAGTTTGAAACCACAGCAGCTCCTTAGAGAATGACTGAGCTTTCTAGTCCTGTAAAGAGTTACATTCTCACAAAATAATAATAATCTATAAATTATCAAGGGTTGAAGGGGGACTGGGGAGGGAGGGGGGAAAATGAGCTGATACCAAGGGCTCAAGTAGAAAGCAGGTGTTTTGAGAATGATGATGGCAACATATGTACAAGTGTGCTTGACACAATGGATGGATGGATGGATTGTGGTAAGAATTGTATGAGCCCCTAATAAAATGATAAAAAAAGAGTTACAGTCGCAGAAACACACGGGGTTGTGGTGAGTCAGCATTGACTCGATGGCAGTGAGTTTGGTTTTGGTCAACCATTTAAAATTTAATATAAAATGGACTTAAGCTATGCTGCTTTGGCAATGTCTGCTTTGTTCATTAATGATTTTTTTTCCATTACAGGTTTTTGATGCAGTTGTAAAGATTTTTGACAAAGAAGGCTAACTTGACCCCTGAAGGCGTCCTTGGAATCATGCTTGAATATTGCTTTGATAGCTGCTGTCACAACCCCCTCTTAAGGCAATTTTGATCTTTCATAATTACATCTCAATTAATGGCTGGAAAGTGTGTAGTAAGACAGATTAAACTTTTACCTTCAGGGTTTTTGTTTTGTTTTGATTTTCTTCTTGTCACAGGAATGATTAGATAGACGGCGAATTAAGGTTCAGCTTTATCTTAGTTGTGGTGCTCACAAAACATAGAAGGATTTCAGCTACTTTTTGTTTTTATTCGACAAGACTGTTCCTTTTAAGTCTGTGCCTTCTGTGAGCAGAATTTTAAGGGTATATATGTATATACCCTTACTAATTGCAATCTGTTAGGATTAGGAATCCCCAGTTTTCCCCTTTTCTTGCAGATTTAAAATTTCCAATCCGTTAAGTGAATTTGCGGACCAAATTTTCAAACAAACTTTTTGTGTAGTTGCTTCTTGAAGATTGTGTTTGGTAAACAAACTCATAAATAACTTTCCAGAAGTGTTTTAGTGTTTGTCAAATAACTGACCATCTCCTGTAGAAAATAAGAAAACTTTGGTTTTGTTTTACTACAACTTGAGCAAAATTGTGTGACGGGGCAGATGCTTTGCTTCCGGGGCTTGGGCTGGGAGCACTTGGGTGCAGAGCCTGGCAGAATGTCAGCTTTACTCTGACATAAATCTGAGGGTGAGGGCCAGGGTCACATCTAATGGCAATGTTCCTTAGGCTCTGTTATAGAATGTGATTATTGATTATACCAGTAGAACACTGAAATGCATGTGCTGGATTTATGGTTAATGATTCCTTTAGAGTTTTAGTAATGCTTCTTTTTGTTTTGTTTGTTTCCGACTAAATACAAGTTTAATTTTAAAAAGAGGAAATGCTAATTGGTTCGATTCTTGTTTGTATTTTTTTTTCTTGAATCTTTTTCAGTTGTTTAAAAGGATTTTAAAATCATTGCACTTTGGTCAGAAAAATAATAAATATATCTTACAAATGTTTGATTCCCTTTCTGGTTACTTTTTTCAGTAAATTTAATTTTTTTGGATCATGCTGAAACATTGAAAGGTATAATGTAAAATGGAGTCCAAAGGAATCTTCACTTAAATTCATTTGTCCTTTAAATTAATTTTCTTTGGGAAATTAATTTTCATTGTTCTTACTGCGTTCTACCACGATGACTAAAAAGTGGTGGCCAGTGTTCTTAATATGAGATTTCTTAAAATGTTTCTGCTGTTAGAAATAGAGGGTTAAACAGGACAAGATTTTGTGTAATTAGTGTAATTAGATTTTATATTTAAAGTCATTGGGGATATGGGGCAATCTGATGAATGTTCTTAAAATGTACTAGAATTATTTATTTCTATGTGTGTTTTGACATTGACTTATCAAAGATGCCTATTTCAACATACTTACCATTGGAAACCATAGTAGCCATATGTTCTTTGTGATTTTGTAACTAAGTAACCTATTGGCCACCAAAATTTGTATTGACATTATCTTGGTTTCTTGGAAAAGACTGTAATGAATTCTTATCCTTTTTCAGTGATTCAGTCCAGCCTTACAGAGGGATTGGCGGTTTAAACAAACTACTTTGGTATGCATCCAAAGGCTAAAATTCTACCCATATGTGCAGAAATCTGTCAGATAAGGATCTAAATATTTATATTAATATTATAAAAGCAACCTTAAGATTTTTTAAAGAAGACTGTTTAGACGAGGTGCATTGCTTCCACTCATCAGATATCTTTCTGTGGCATATGAGAACAGAAAACCAAGAAACATAGTGGTTTCTAAATTATGAGGCTTTGTTTTTTGTTTGCTTCTAAGTAGAAAAACATGTTGGCAATATTGAGTTTTGGAGTTGATTGAGATGCATCTGCCTCCACTAGTTTGGCTGTTCTGTTTGTTAAAGATATAGTCACTAAGATGTTTTTGACATTCTGAGACACACCACTTGGAACCTTGCTGCCTTTTTTCTCCCCTTAAATGAAATGAACTGATTTTTCCATTTAATGATGTTGAATGTATATGAATTATTTAGTAAATAATCCCAATAAATTTTGTGCTGTGGTCTTTGCTATTTGCTGGTTCAGATTTCTGTTCTCTGAAGCATATTAAAGAGCACTAAGTATCATGTTTGACCTGTGTGTCCTCACATGGCAAAAGCAGAGTCCGAGATCCTGGAGAGTCCTCTGCTCTGTGTATTACGTATGTCTTTGCATCTGGAATTAGCAAGAGAGTGTAACTTCTGTTTCTTCAAGAACTAATCTGCATCGAGGCGCAAGGAGCCTATTTCATTACCCGCCTACAGCACTGATTGCTTGTCCCTTTCAGGGGACTTAGGAGGGTCCAAAGTATGAATTTTCTTTTTAGTAGGCTTGTGATTTGTCCATGGAATGTAAGTGGTTGCCTAATATCCTTATGGTCCAAAGTATTGGCCAGATCCAGTGATCGTCATTCTTCAAACATTGCTAATTGCATAAGCCACAGTGCTGTTCTGGGTGACATTCTCTGCCATCTAAGGGTTTTAGATAGACATTCAGTTATCTTTTGTTTGCCAACTTTAATAATTTCTAGTGCATTTCAGTTCTCTGTACCCCACTTTCATACTTCATCTTCATTAACTACTCTTTAACTTAAAGCACCTTTTTTTTTTTTTTTAAGTAAAAGGAAACTCATCGTGTGCCAAAGAGAAAAAGTAAATATGATCCTGATCACCCCATTCCTCATGTATCAATATAGTTAGGTTCCAAAGACTGGGCTATTATACAATAATCAACATTATGCAAAAATGGAGGATGACCTCATCAGATCGTATTTGCAGGATGACTACATCATTACATGACTGCCAGATCACATCCATATATAACTTCCAAACCACTGAGAATTATGGCCCAGGAATTTGACTTGACAGCCAGTGTTCTTGTCTCTCACCTTAGTTTTTGTTAACATCTACTGCACAAAATAGATAGGTTATTTACAATTGTCATGTGTAAGATGTCACAAAAAGAGGTACTGGATAGATGAGGAGTATGCTCATGGACCCAAGCATGCTTTCCTTTATCATAGGTGTGGTTATTGTGATTGTGATGTTTCTGGACTTGGGCCAACTCTGCTTTCCTATCTTGGGAGAGCTGAAGTTTCAGGCCATCTTTCTAAGCAACCATACCAGGTTCAGACTATTAATAGGACTTCTGTTTTCATGATATCCCAGGGGGCCTGCTCAAAAGAGTAGAACCTGCTTCTCCTGGGCCTCTTTTCAAAAGGCTTCTCTCGTAGGACTCTGACCTCCAAAGACTCGGACATAAGAAGGTCCACTTGTTTTGTCCTCTTTAGGGAAACAGGGTAACAAATGAGAACACTTGTGTAATGGAGGTTCTTTCATTAGCTATACATTTTGAAGCAACTTTACGTTACTACTGAAATCTGCCTTTGGCATTTTAACCAACCAGAGGAAAAGCATATATGGTCAGTTGTATATAAATATTAGATTATCATAAACTAGGAATTGTATTCAACAGTTGAAATCCAGCAGTTAGGCAACATGCTGCATACATAGCACATACACTTTCATTTGAGAAACTGTATTTAAAATACAGAAAGGCTACAGGTATGAGTTTTGTATTAGATTGAAGACTTCCTCAGAAATAAACTTTCAGTAGCTGCTTCTAGAAAGGCTTGGTGACCTGCTGTCCAAGGATGAGCTATTGAAAATCCTAGGGGCTGCAGTTCTATTGCAGCACCCTTGGGGTCTCCCTGAATGAGAGTGAACTCGCTAGCAACTAGTTCTGGAACTTGGTTAGCTACTTCTATGGCATTTGGTGGGCTTTCCTTACCATGTTCTCAATCCTTGCAATCTTTTGAGGACTCTGGATATGAGTGGCCCTCTCCCAGCTGCCTCGGCTCTAAGGCAAGCAGGATCTTAGTTACCCAGTGCTGCAACAGGAACACTGCACGTGGGTGCCTTAACAAGCACATTTTTGTCTCTCTCAGTTTTTGAGGCTAGAAGCTAGGACTCGGGGAAAGGTCCTTCTCTTAACATCTGTGGGCCTAACATTCCTTGGAGATGTCCATGGGTCTGGCATCAATCTTTCTGTGGGTTTAGGAGGTTGTCAGCACAGAGACCCTGGGCCCAAAAGATCTGCTCCACTTCCAGTTCTTTCTTGATGGTTGTCAGATCCCTCTCTTCTGGCTTTTCTCTCCCTGTCTCTTGTAAGATCAACGCTCTTACAAGGCCACACCCTCGGGGAACTCCTGGTCCATCAGATCAGGGCTATGACCTGAGTAAGGGTGTTGCATACCCCCCTTAATCCCTTCACAACCGAGGAACTGATCACATTGCATGACATCATGGGGAATGATGACATCATTGCATAGTTGCTGATTTACATCGTTATATACTGGCAAACCATAGAGACTTGTGGCTCAGCCAAGTTGACCCATATTGGAGGTGGAGGGGGTGGTGGAGAGAGAGACACACAACATAATTCAATCCATGGCAAACAAGCAGTCAGCGCTTAAAGCACAAAGCTGTCAAGCACGTGGCTCACTCTTCCGTTAGCTTTATAAAGAAGCTGTGTAACCGGTGGCTCCAAACTGCTGCTAGAACTAGACCAGTCGAGTGACTCCAGTCATGAGGCTGCACCAAATGGAGAACTTTTCTTCTTTATGGTTTCCAGGAAACTTGCACAACAGACACTACCCTCATCTTGCCCTCAGTCAGAGGGTGGTCAAGAAGGACACTTGTTTTTGTTTTAAGTCATTTAATTGGGGCTCGTACAACTCAATACAATCCATCCATCCATCCATTGTGTCAAGCACATTTGTACATTTCTTGCCATCATTCTCAAAACATTTTCTTTCTACTTGAGCCCTTGGTATCAGCTCATCATTTTTCCCTCCCCCCCCACTTGCGAACCCTTGATAATTTATAGATTATTATTATTTTGTCATGTCTTACACTGTCCAATGTCTCCCTTCACCCTTTTCTGTTGTCCATCCCCCAGGGAGGGGGTTATTTGTATATCATTGTGTTCGGTTCCCCCTTTCTCCCCCACCTTCCCCATCCCCTCCTAGTATTGCTACTCTCATTATTGGTCCTGAGGGGTTTATCTATCCTGGTTTC